TCTGGGACTTGAAGTCCACCTATCATAAACATGGAATTCTGGGACTTCAAGTCCACAACCCTAAACATGCAATTTTGGGAGTTGAATTCCACCTATTTGAGCCATGGAATTCTGGGACTTGAAGTCCACCTATCTTAAACATGGAATACTAGGAGTTGAAGTCCACCTATCTTAAGCATGGAATTCTGGGACCTGAAGTCCACTATAACTCCACCCATCTTTGACGGACCAAGATTGAGAACCACTGATCAACACTGTCACCTGGATAGCTATCGGCATCATCTGTTGCTCCGAGTTGAGATACAACAGGCAAATTGGGGCTGCGAGATACTGGTGCTTCCCGTTCAGTTTGGTGGTTGGGATGTCCTCTAGGATCTTGTAGTCAGCGATGAAGAGGTTCCCCTTCTGGGGTAGGAGAGAAGGAGATGAAGGAAGATGGGTGTGAACTCAGCATAGGTCTGCAATTCTGGAAAATCCAGATTTCCCGGTTGGGAAATTCACTCTTCTTCTCTTTGGCAACCATCAGGGGAGGCCCATCCAGTGTTGTTCCCATTTTAGAAAAGGAGGGAATAGCATGGAAAAATGTATTTTGGGTTCTACCACGAGGGCCCCATTTCCTCAATCTGAATTCTATTCTGATTTAGCATCCTCCAACTCAAACAATCATAAGTTGCATTAACAGAGGGATGCAATCCAGATCAAGAGAGGTACTAACACCACTCTGTAAAGCAAGGGTCTTCAAACTTGGCAAGTTTAAAACGTGTGGACTTCAATTCCCAGAATCCCTCAGCTAACATGACTGGAGGAGGATTCTGGGATTTGAAGTCCACAAGTCTTAAATCTGTCAAGTTTGAAGACCCCTGCTATAAAGCCTTAGTAAGGCCACACCTAGAGTCCTGCATCCAGTTTTGGTCACCACATTATAAAAAAGATGTTGAGACTCTAGAAAAAGTGCAGAGAAGAGCAACCAGGATGATGAGGGGACTGGAGGCTAAAACATACAATGAACGGTTGCAGGAACTGGGCTTGGCTAGTCTAGGGAAGAGAAGGACCAGGGGAGACATGACAGCAGTCTTCCAATGTTTGAGGGGCTACCCCAGAGAGGAGGAAGGGGGTCAAGCTATTTTCCAAGACACCCGAAGGCCAGACAAAGAACAATGGATGGAAACTGAGCAAGGAGAGATTCAGCCTGGAAATAAGGAGGAAATTTTCTGACAGTGAGAACCATCAACCGATGGAATAGAGGTTGCCCTCAGAAGTTGTGGGAGCTTCATCCCTGGAGGCTTTCAAGAAGAGATTGGACTGCCATTTGTCAGAAATGGTGTAGGGTCTCCTACTTGGGTGGGGTGGGGGTGGGGGTTGGACTAGTTGACCTCCATGGTTCCTTCCCAACTCTGTTCATCTGTTATCTGTTAAACTCAGATTCTTATGAGATCTCCTTGGAAGTTAGGCACCCCGAGCTACAAATATTCTCCTTTTATTGGTCCTTGGATGGTCCCCCAAATCCACAAATGGTCCACCTCCTCCCACCCATCCGATGGGACCACCTAAGTTACCTTCAGTTCTTCTTCCAGGGTGGATTTCCCCAAGCTTCCAGCCACCATCTCTTCCGTCACGGGGAGATTTGGAGGGATCTCGGTGCATTTGCGGAGCAGGACAGGGTTGACTCCATTGAGGAACTGGTACCCAAAGAAATCATCGTCCATCCAATGATCCATGACGTATTCTGGATTTATAGAAAGGCTTCTTAGAGAAGGATGTGAGGGCCTCCTTGCCACAGCTAAATATGGAGGCATTTGAGAAGGAAAGAGAGGGAAAGGGAAGGGTAGGACAGGATCAGGGAATGGGCTGCTACCGGTTCGCCATGGTTCGTACGAACTGGTTGCTAATTTTATCATTTTTAATTACTGGTTCAGCGAAAGGCCCCAACTATCCTGCCCCTTGTTCTGACCAAGGCTTCCAAGACCGTAATTATGCACACGCTTATTTTAAAAACAAGTCTTGTTTTATTGCAATGCTGCGAATTATTTTCATTCCCAGCTGGTGATGAATCTCAAACAGTCCCTCGAGATAAGCACACATCTTAATTTGGAGGACTGGCATGGTATTGACGACGGTTGTCATCCGACGAGCAAAGATGGCGGGGAAGCCAGATTCACTTAACGATGGTGCCGCTTGCTTAACAACCTCGATGATTCACTTCATGACATTGGCCAGAAAGGTCATAACGTTAAGAAACATCTCACTTAAGAAATAGGTTTTGGGGTTCCATGGGGGGGGATCAATGAAGAACTAGCTGTATTGCAAGAGAGAGGTTAATCCAACGTGTCTTGCAATTGGCCGGGGGTGCTCAATATTCTTTTAATATCCAAGGGAAATAAACATATCCAACCATCCTTTTTATATTTTCCTTAAAAAATAATTGATTGTATTTATTTGTCAAAGTTCTATCCTGCCCGTCTTACGGTTGGAAGCAAGGAAAGACCAGGCAGCCACAAGGCACATGAACAAGCAATGCATTTCTAGTGAGAGAGAGAGGGAAAAAATAATAAAGGACAATGTTTGGGTGTTTGGGGACTTAGGAAAAAAGGAGAAAAATAGAAAGCACGTTGGAAATGCATAAAATTATAGGTGGAGTGGAGGAAACAGGAGAGGAAAAGCAATTCTCTTCCTTTCTTTCTTTTCTAATCTCCAGGAATAATCCAAGAAAGCTAAATAAATATTGAGACTATAGAAAGGAGGAAAGCCATTTGTGTCTCTCTTGTTTATAGCTATTTATCATCCGTCTATCTATCTATCTATCTATCTATCTATCTATCTATCTATCTCTATCTATCTATCTATCTATCTATCTATCTATCT